TGTAAACCTTTTTGGAAGCCATAGTTCTTCACTTGGGCCTGGTCACAGGCAGCAGTGACATAAGGTGGGATTATCCCGCTGATGATATTTTGTTGACAAACTAAAAGCAGCTAATATAAAGGACTCTTTGGCAGTTGTTTCAAAATCGTCTTGGCATTCATCTCAATTCCTCATCTATTGATAACCAAAGGGAAATAATCCACTAATCACAGGATTAGTGATCTCATTTCATTTGGAGCAAATGTTTCAAATGCAAGAGCTAAATCTGTAAACTGAGCTCCATCTGAGTCTATAACCCAAAATAGTGGTCTTGTCAAGGTTTGTTTGAGCTTCAGATGTCTGCAGGAGAAAGACCATCAAAAGAGACAAAAATGAACTTTACCTAAACTGCCAGTCATTTTAGACATATTGCTAATTTTTGACAATTGCACCCCAAAAAACACACATTTGGATGTGATGCTTAATGTCTTACAGGAAACTGAAGACAATCAATAGCAATACCACCTGGAAATGGGTGGATGACACTAAATTATGTTTACCATGTCCAGTGTATGACTGACTGTATGATAACAATCAAGCTACTTAACTCCATTCATATTTGCCCATAAACTTAAAAAGACCAGAGAGTAAAGATTAACAATATGGTAAACAGGTGACCATGAAAGACAGCAAAATAAAGATTTTCAAACTATTAAAACCATTTTAAAAAATTTTATTACACTTCTTAAAAGGAGGCACAGAGTAAAAGAAGCAATAAACTGTAGTCAACAACTCCAAAATAATGACAAATAAGTGCCCTCTGGTGACTGAAAATAAAAACAGTTCTTACCTCCAGACACACAACAACACAATGCGTAAGCTCTCTGACTTTTTTCAAACTGGAAAGAAGTCTTCCCAGTCAGAAGACCAAAAATCGCTCAACAAACAAGATTGTTTTACAGAATTGCTCTCGGTTGATAGGATTGATTTTAACAGTCAACCAAATTACAGATTTGGGGTGAGGCACCGGATGACCAACTCTTTTTTAGAGTTCACTGATGAGAAGAAAGTGTCTTCAGGTGGGCATCAAGGTGTGACAGCAGACTTCAACCAAACAAAACAGAAGAAAGGTGCAGTTCAGGACTAAACTGTCTTTTCAAACTTTGACCCAGGCATCTTTTCCCATCCCAGTCACACAGATTCCGCTGGTAATCTCTAAAGTTCTTCAAATGTTCTACGTTCAGTGTATGCCAGTTGTTGTTATTCTTTTCTACTTTCATGGTTAGATTTGGGTTTGTTCTCTTTGAGTGGCATAAAATACTTTTAGTTATTCCTGCATTTGAAATACCGGAAGCTTAGCGACTTGTGGTGCCTCAAAGAGATTTCCAGTAGCTTTCTATCCTCTTTGCAAAATCCATCAGATCTCCTCTCTCAGGGCATTTGCTTAGGTCCGCTAGCAGGCAACGTTTTAAAGCCTGTGCGGTCTGACTGTAGTCGGAGCTGTAAGAAGCCATCGGTGGAGTTCCTCTCCAAACAGGAGGAAGGTGCCAGATCCAGGTGCTTGAATCAAAGCATACTACATCTGCAAGCTTTGTCGCTTTTATTTCAAGGTCCCTCTGGATCATCACATTGAACTGTTCTAGCAATGCCTTATTTCTTTTCTTTTGATCAGAGGCAGGCATTGCTGTCATATGAACCTGAACAAAATGGCACAATGGCTTCTTGTCCTCAACTTTTACCCTTGTCAGAGTATTAAGTACCATTCTCAAGAACTCCTTTTCCACTGAGGCGTCCTTAGAAATATTGATTATTGTGATATCACTTAAGGCCAACGCAAGACGCGCAACTTCTTTGTCATGTTCGTGGCTATGATCGTCCTGGACCATCTGGTGGGCCTTCAGTCCCTCGGTATCGATGACCATGATGCAGTCACAGCCTATCTTGCTCTTTACATCTTTGCTGACAGTGATCATCTGCATGAAAGCTCCCGTAGTGCACATTCCTTTGTTGACAGCAAACCTGCTGCCAAACATGGTGTTGAGGAGAGTTGATTTTCCTGAATTTTCTTCTCCGATCACTGAAATGACTTTAACCTTACTGTTGGATTGTATAAGGGAGTGAAGCTCAGTAAGAACAGCACTGACCCATTTCAACGGAATGTTTGCTGCATCTCCATCAACAAACTCAACAGGGACACCATCTAGCAGCATCTGAGCTGCAAACATGGGGAGCTGTTCCATCTTTCTCCTTGAAATGCTGAACTCTGGTAGGCCAGCCATACATGTATACCGCTGCCCACACTCTCGAAAAAAATGTTTTATTTGTATAGAGGAAGTTGAAATTTGTTGGTCAACATCTGCTATTTTAGCTGTTTCTTTTGGAGACTTTTGTTTTAGTGCTATGTATTGATTCAGTAGAGCTGACAGGTGGTGCCGGGACAGATCTTCTAGTGCCATTTCCAACCATCTCAGGAAATAAGAGCGGTGAACTTCAGAGGTACTCAACCCATTGAGGAAGTTTGACATTGTGGTTGTCATCTCAAACCTTTGCTGCTTCTTTTTAAACTGTTTTTCTTCTCTTTCCAGGGACTTACGGTATTCCTCAGTTTTTATTTTGTCAACTTTTCGCAGTCTCCACTGCTCTGTTTGCACCCATGAAATCTCTTTTCAGATGTTTCCTTGAGTTGGCAGTTCTTCATCTTTGAACTGAGATATTTCATCAATAAGAGCAGTGATTTTTCTGGTATCCTTCAGAGCCTTTTGGCATTCATCATTATCTTCATCGACAAGAATCTCACAACACCGAGCTCTTTCAGCCAGATTTTCCAGAGACACCTTTCTTGACTTTTTCTCAAGTATTTGAGAAACGGATTCCTGGAGGGGCCTGACTAACTCTGCTTCATTTGCTTTTCTCTCACTTAAATTTGTCATTTTTAAGTCTGGCTCAAACGTCAACATTTTTAATCTGAACGATTTCCCTCTTTTGCTGCTGATCAAAATCACTTTTGCTTGCACATTTTTTTCTTGCAGATATTTAAAGTATTCAAACTCTGATTCTTCGCAGAGGATATAAACAACTGCAGACGACTGACAGAGGAATGTAAACTGCTTATCAAAGGACCTGATGTCCCCTCTGAGGTTGGCAACAGCCGTCAGTTCACTGAACTTATCTACAGAACTGCTGCCACATGGAAGGTACCAGGTGAATTCAACAAGCCCCTCTGAAATTCTTCGTGGCACATCTCCACTCTCCAAAGCAGAATGGTAAAATATGTCATGATACTGCTCTGTGTTACTTAGCAGTTTGTTTAACATCTGAGACTTGGATAGGAAGTGCTTTCCCAAGCTGGCAAATGATACAAGAGGCATTTCAGAGAACACAAGTCTTTCCTCACTGCTTGTCCCTCTGAATGCTTGCTGCAAGGGTGTGAAATTTCTGACAATTTCACGCATAGACCACAGCATCATGGTTAGCTCTCTTGTTTCAATGTTTGGCAGCAGGAGCGGGACTGCAAACTGGCATTGTACCATTTTACCAACCATATTCTGCTGAAGGAACTTGTCTGAGCTGAGAAACAATCCAGTGATCAAATCTAGAGGGTTGATAGTATTCTTCTTGTCCATCTCCACATCACTAGATGCACATTTCACACTTCTAGCATTTGTGTCACACATTAAAAGTCTCCTTAGAAAGGCTTCAGTAAGGGATTCTGTTGTTTCGTCGTTGATTTCTGCTGTGTCATGCTGAATAATTTGGAGGATGTGGCTAATTTTTAGCTTGGTGTCATACTTGTCTTCAAGTCCAATCTTTGTCAATACTTCTCTGAGGCCAAGCACTGTCAAACAAGACAAAAGCAACAAATTCATCACATTTATTGAAGGAACTTGGGAGATATTTCTATCCAATACTGAAAATCATTTCTACAACATTTAGCTGTCTTGACTTGCACATTGAAATTTGTTCAAACATGGGAAATTGTTTCAAGGATGTGAATACTTTTTCAAGCTACTATACTTTAGCAAGATGCCTTCTAACCACAGAGGTTAAAGATAAAACAAATGAAATCACCTGTGTGCACAGAGATAGAAACTGGATCACTCGTCTTGTCATTCAGCAATGTTGAGACTGATATATGGTACTCTGTGTCTGACTTTAAGTCAGATAATGTCTTGTGGCGATCTTTTGTGTATATTACAAAAGGTTCTTTATCTGGACTTGTGATGGTAATCAGAAAATTATGTGGGATTCCTTCCATGTTTTCTCCTTCGCTCCAAGTTAAAGACAGAGTCGTGGATTCTAACCAATCTTTTGTCAAATTTCGAGGAGGTGGCACGGCTGCAAGAAGGAAGACAATGAGAAAAGGTTTGTTAAGCCATTAAATTATTGGATTTAATAATGAACCCAATAAAAAAATGTGTTTGCTTCATGATTTTTACCTGTAGACACACTTGCTGTCACCCATTTACTTAAGTTGCCACCTTTGTCTTCTGTGGCCACACTGAAGAAATACTGCTCTCCAAGCTGAAGGTTGTTTATTTCCACTTTATTAAGGCCTTTGATAACTAACGAGTCTTCTACCTTTGTCAAAGAGCTCCATTTAACTCTGAACTTCGTAGTTCCGCTTAGTTCCTGGGAGGATTCCCAAGTTAACACAACACAGTTTGGTTTCACTGTCAGGAACTTGATCTCACCAGGAGGGGGCACCACTGGCCAACAAAAAAAGGTAGACCAAGTTAGAATCACAGGACATCCTGATGTTATAAAACAAGATTTGGTTTGAGACGATACAGGAAGTATTGCAGGAAATTAAAATATTTTGCAGCAGTAATTGAACAGATCTGTGCATGTTTTGTTTTTTTTTCCATGAAAATGGCAATCACCAATAACAAACTTTATCTAATCTAAATCACTTTCCAGTATCATTATTACAGTGTTACGTCATTTCCCACTATACCAGGTGCTTTACAGGCCTGGAGAAAGGTCAGTGACAGTTATGTAACTAAAGGATGAACAAGCCGTAAAACAATTACCCACATTTTTATTTCACTATATTTTGGCCTTTGTTTGCGTGAGGTTTACCGGTATTTATTTTTTTGGTTGTCATTTTTGTGTCATATGAAAAGGTAATATAAAGTAAGATTTTTAAAAGTACTGATCACACATTTCAAAACAGAAAATATGCAAGAAATAATTGGAGAGAACGAGACTTCAGATCAAGAATACAGCTTACTGTTATCAGCAAGGAGAAAAAGCTGAATAAAACATCAAACAACATAATAGCTACAGGTACACTCTCAACAAAATTATTTTTTTATTCACAGAATCAAGTTTTTGTCATAAATTGGTTTGGTATTAAAATATGTGCAACCTCTAATCTGGATTCTGACAAGATCTTAATACAGAAGATGAGTAAGATTAACATCAGTGTTATGCATAGATATTGGTTATGCATACATGTTGGGGGAGCATCATGCTTTGCTCCACCAATATGTGTATTTATCACAAAGACTGATGCCTTTTTTTTACCTTTGATTTGAAACAAAGACTGAAATCTCAGTGTCACAGCACTCTCCCATGCAGAAATACTGGTAAAAACCCCCAAAAACTTACATCTTTTTGATTGTATTTTCATCCAAAATTTGATTCAAAGCATAAAATCTTTTAAGCACACTTTAAAACAAATGGATAAAAATGTGTTACATAAAGCTTTTTCAGATGGAATCGGAACAATGATCAACTCAACAATAAGAAAAAAAAACAAACAAATCATCACCAATTTTATAAATGAAATTGCAGGGCAAATCCAAATATGCAATGGCACAGCAGAAAATACTGAATGAAAAGAAAGGAAAACATTTTCAAGAAGACCAAAAAATGGAAATAATTACATTCTGGAAATGCTATTGAGCTAACAAGATTTACTGTAATTACTGTGGAAAAACCTTCCCACAGAATGATGATGCACCACCGTGTCTCACTGTGGGGACGTGGTGCTCACAGCACTCATACCATTTTGAATGTAGATCAAAACTGCTGATTTCGCTCTCATCTGATCACAGTACGTTCATATACATAGTAAGGTGACTGAACGTCTTTTGGAAGCAAAGTTGCAAAGGAAAGCTACTTCTCACAGATCCAGTGTTGTTCAACACTACAATTCTCATCATTCCAGTCACCATCCCCGTTGGTACGGTGCCAGACCTCCACACAGTCCTGGTTCCTCCCTTGATGGCTGTTTGGCTGCCCTTTAGCCCAGAACCTAAATAATGCAGTGGCCCAAAAGCAAAATTCAATAAAAACTCTTATGTGAATTTTAAATTTTGGATAGAAAATGTTTCCTTACGCTATAGTCATTGGTGTTCCATCAACCCATTTCCACTGCCCTTCCACTCCTTCATCAGTCAGACCGATCCACACCTCTTTGTCCTGGTACAAACTGTTGATGAAGTTCTAGGAGGACAAAAACAAGACAGTTGATAAAATACTATGCTGCTTATAATGCTGGGAATAAACGTTTTTAAAAGAAATTTCAGATTTACTTAGAATTGGTTGCCCTGTCAAGGTGCTGTCAACCATCTCGCCACATGTTCATATGCATCTTAATGTAAAAATGAATGTGCGTTTTAAAACATTACGTTGGGTCTAGTCAGTGAACCTCATATGTTACCAGTGAAGCAACCCCTTAAAATACAATGCACAGGGATTAAAGATGAAAAGGTCACAGTTTGGAAGAAACAATTGAGGGAGTCACTTTTTGACTTTTCTCAAAATTAAATGCATTTCTGAAATCCAAGATGGTTCAGGTCATTGCTTAAAATGTCTTAACACACTATTTAATTTCAAGATACATATGGACATGTGAAAGCACTGAGATTTGCACCAACATTTTTACAACCATAATAACTGAGATTAAGTATATTATTCATGACAAAACTTTTAAAGGCTTCTCTGATATTTTGAATTTACTATTTGTATTTTTATTTATTTTTTCTGCAACTCCTGTATTAATTAGATTTATTTAGACATTTAAACAAATGTTTGACTTTATTGACACTTCCATGGTATATATATTAAATGAACACACCATTTCCTCTCTACTGGTCACTATGGCCAGGTCTGCTCCCCTGCTGTGGCAGTCCTCTCTGCTTAGCGTCCAGGTTTTTTTGGTGATAGAGGGGAAGTAGCAGCTGTACTGGAACTTCCTCCAGCCAGCAGGGCAACGTTTCTCTGTGTTACAAACAAACAACAAAGTTGAACACTTTCCTTAGCTAGCCAAACTGAAAAAAAAAAACTCCTAGCTTTTCACAAGGAAGTGTAATTGAAATACTCTGATATCACAAATCTATGCACACATTAATTTTAAAAAGGCATAAAAAATGTGTAAAAGCTTCAGTAAAGACTTTTCTGAGTATTTCCTCAATTTTACCTTGAAGAGTTGCATTCAGTTCATTGAATCTCCCCAGCAGCTTCTCTTGCTCAGCAGTCAGGTTGTCAACTTTTGCTTTCAGAAGGTCTCGCTCAGCGGTTACATTCTTCAGGCTGCTCTGAAGTTCACTTTTCTCCCTTTGCACCGAGCTATATGATCTCTGCAAGGTACTTTCTGCCTTTCTCAGCATATTGTTCAAGTCTTCCAGTACTTTGATTTCCGCTGTAAGGTTTAGGTGGGCGCTCGACAGCTTGTCCTTCTCACTCAAGGAGAAGTTGTATTTGTCGTGTAGTTCTTTCGTCTTATCGACCATTTCATTGTAACTTGACTGGAGATAATCTCTAGCTCTGCTCACATTGTTAAGTGTGTTCTGTAAATTGTTCCGGTCCTTAGTAACACTGTCATAATTAGCCTGTAGTTCTTTGGTGCTTTTGACAATTGCACTATATTGTGTATTTAAATTGATATAGGCAGTGTTTAATGCATCTCTTTCTTTCTGCAGCTGGGCTGTACTGCCTCTCAGCTCTCCCAACTCTTTGTTTAAAGCAATTTTGTTGGTATCTGCCTCTCTTTGCTTAGCCTGAAGATCATTTTTCTCATTTGTTAGCTCTCTGTTATTGGCAAGCACTACGCGCATTTGTCTGGAAATAAAATCGCTACCCTCCTGTTGATGCTTCAAATTGGCTTCGAGCTCTCTTTTTGCACTCTGCACTGTCTTCAGGTTTGCTTGAAGCTGCTCTTTGTTTTCATTGAGGGCTTTTAATGTGTCCAGATGTTCTTTCTTTACCTTTTGATCTGCACAAAAGATTAAAAAAGAAACAAAAACACAAATCAGTCATTTTATATATATATATATATATATATATATATATATATATATATATATTATATATATATATATATATATATATATATATATATATATATATATATATATATTTTTTTTTTTTTTTTTTTTTTTTTAGATCACACAGTGTGAATATTTGGGCAAATTTAGAAAAAGGATAACTCACTGTGAACACTCTGACCAATTAGCCATGCCACCAGCACAGCGCAGAGCAGTCCAAGGCCAATTGTAGCAACCTTAAAGCTCTTGCCTCTCAGGGAATAAACTGATTGACAGCAGGGAAAGCAGAAACATAAACTCAAAATTTATGAAGCCATTTGAGGAAGTTGTGGTTTTACTGAATTGCGAAAGCTTTTTGGATAACAGCCTTTAAAATGAAGCACTACAAAGTCAAAGTAATTCACATTTAAGCGAATTCAAATCCAAAAGGGGCTACGGTTGTTGATGTTGAATCATTTAGAGTTGCCTGTTGAAATAAATCCAAGATGGCAACTTTGAGTTTCTTTTTGCAAAAGGAAGGGATGAAAGCTGAAGGGAAAAAATGAAGATAGCATAGTACTTTTCGTTTCATGTTTGGTCAAAATAATCTGCAGCTTGGTTGATGTTTTGCTTCACAAAATAAATGTTTACAACACACGAATAATTCAGAGCTTTAGCTGCATACAAATCCACAAATATTCCAAAAGCTATTTTTACAAGTTGGCATCAAGGTTTTTACTGCTTCTCTACCTGCTCCTAATAACAAATTTGAAAGTTATTGGAATATTAATGTCGATATATGAGCAGTAAAGAGAATCTGCCATTATTTGGTAAGATAACAATGGTCATGTTAGATACACCACATATGTGTTAATGAGAAAAGACTTGAGTAAAAGTTAGGATTGTGTCAGTACCTGAAAAGAGAAAATTTTTCCCATCAGAGGAAAAATTTTTGTAGGCAATTTCACTTCTGGTCGTATCCGTGTCAGCTGTCTTTGAGACTCGGTACTCCACACTCATGTTTCTGCACTATTGATGAAGTGAAACCTGAACAATTAAAATGTGACATTGTTAGATTCTGAAACAGAAGCTAAACCTTCATCAGTGTGACCAGAAGAAACAACACAAATTGATATAATTCAACTCAAAATCTCACATTGTTGTGGATTTTATCTTAAGCATGAGAGCAAAATTTATAAAAGTAAATTCAAAGTGTTTGTGATGATTATTGAAACATTTCTTAAGAATCCAGGATTTCGTACTTGTGTAAGAACTTACCTCTGTTGGATGAGACGCTACCAAGCACAGTGGACAAATCTACATTTTGTAGAAGCCATTGAATCTTATATGCCTTGCTTCCGCTGTGACCACTTATGCAACACTTATGACAACTGGGAGGAGGAGAAACATACACTTCCTTTATTAATGGTGCTGGAGCAATTGTTGTTTGTTTACTTTTAATTTTTGAGGATGTTCATAAGCAAATATTACCCTCGGCAATAAAATCCTGTGTTTTTATTTTCCGGTGGCTCGGAAACAACTTATAGCCAAAACCACAACAGGACAAACAATGTGGTACCCTACTAAAAGTAAATTGTTTCTTTCTCCCACATATTCTATCCTGTTCTTTGTCAGTGAAATGTTTGCAGAAGCAAATTATACAACTTAACTGAGGTAGCCGTTACCAACAAATGCTCTGAATAAAACTACAAGGTCAGCATTTTAAGTTTATAAAATCTTTCTCTACTTGGAATAATATTTGGTACATCTGAGGTGAAACTAGACAAACTTAAATATTGCATTATTTGCATTTGATTGGCCTGTTTCATGTTCCTATGTTTGTCATTTGTTTGTTTCGTTTTAGTGGTGGGACTCCATTAAAACTTTTATTCCAGTTAATCGCAAGCTCTGAAATGAGTTTACTGGAATAATTTGCATTTTAATCAAAACAAAATAAACATTTATACTTCAAAAGCCCTTTTTGCTGCTAAATTATTGAATACATACAACAGCTCAACAACAGATATGTTTGTTGTCTTTGATCTTTTAAGCAAATTATCATTGAATACCAACAAAATGAACATTTTCAATTTCAAAAAGCCTTTGACTTAAATTACTGAATAAATAAACAAATGAGCTCAACAACAAAGATATTTCTTCTTTTTAATTTATTATTTAGGTTTTCCAACCCTCAGATTGGTTTAAAGTGCTTTTATATCCATTCAGTTTTCAAGTGTTTTAGGAACCCCTGACCATCCATGTAGCTTAGTTTTAAAAATATTTATTTTGAATTGTGGACTTTGGACATTGACATAAGCTTTGGGGGCATTTGTGCTGATACAGCACATTTTGAGATGCTACTTTAGGCTTTATTAGCTTTGGTGATAGGCTAACTCCTATTGGCATAACTTCAATAGTCTTTATCATCAGATTGTTTCAAAAAAAGGTTCCAGTTTTGGACTTTCACATGTCAAAAACAAAAAATGTCATTAACAATCTTGTAAATATAAAATTTATGTCATTAATTAGTTTAAATTAAAGCAATAAAGTCCCGTTCTTATTTTGTTTTGACATTAATCTTCTATCTCTTCCAGCAAAGCTTTGAACAGAACATTTTACTTGAGTGAATTTTCTCATTTGTTTCATTCATAATTTCTGCATGAACAGCAATTTAAAAAGATAATAACCAATTATCCCACATGTAACATTATCCACCCGACATACTTTTTGTAAATAGAGTCAGGTTTTAACCACAATTTACTCACACATCCACCGTCTTTCTTAACGTTTCTGTCTCACCACAGAGTATCTCTGTCTATAATAGTACCATAACTGTAATTGCTGATTTAGGGATATTTTCTGCTGACCAGGAAATGAGATTTCATTTGGTCTGCAAAAAGTCATGATGGCTTCCTGTGTTTCATGGGAGAAACTTGCGCAATCTCATCTGTCAGCAAACGTTTTTCAACTCTTATTTTAAAAAATGAATATTTGGATATTTTCCTCTAAAGGACCTTTTTAAAAAAAAATAGAAAAGACAAAGAGGTGGATTTAGAAACTTTTAAAAGGGGGTGGACATAAAAAGAGCTGTTGTTAGGGTGACAATGCTGGACCTCCTCAGTGAAGAATGAGGAGAATATCCACAAAAACAAACTAAAGTGGACTTTGACTCCAATTAAGTTAACAAAAAACATAAAAATACTTGTTTTCATTCTGCAAATGTAAATTCTGAATTGATTTTTCTCAAATTGATCCATTAAAATCTACTTCCTAAATGTAATTGAATTGAATATCTTGAAATATTCAGCTTAATCCTACATTTTGACAATAGTTTTTATTTAACTATCCATATCGATAATATGGATAGTGTGTTGTTGACTAGTGTTTGAGGCCCGATGTTTTGCTACTGTGAGATGTAGCAGGACATTCAACACCCCTGAGAAACTGAGAAAACCAGAAAGAAAAATGCTACTCTAGGGAAACTAAATCCAAAAGAGAAAAATAATGCATAACTGCATGATGCAACAGTCAACAAGAAAAAGTCTGCATTTTAAATCATAGGGTTTGACCTGAGACCAAGAAATTAATTATAAAAACGTATACTGTGCTAATTGTTTATTTGGATTTTTCTGAAGCCAGTTTATTACCCTGATGCTTGTAACACAATTCCAGAGCTAGTTTGTCCTCTTGTGAACCTTTGCAGGCAGTACAAGTTGTAACTCAGAACTGCATCCTCCACTTCTTGTTGAAAATATATGAAAATGTACTCAAGAAGATTTTCGACAAATACAGAACGGTGCATTTCTTTTACTCTTTGCTTATACAATGAGTGAAATTTTCTTGTTAGGTAACTTTTACGTCAGTGTCCATTTCTTTCAAAAAACTGAATGCATTGAGCTGTGGCAGAAATTGTTAGGATTGATCCAGATGTTAGATGGACTTTGTGTTTCTGGTTCAGTATTTATTGCTTCAATATGAGGCTGTGCCACAAGTGAAGGAGGATGTTCTGTTGCTATTAGCTGTTTTTCAATAAAGATGTGTGCTTTTATCATCTGTATTGTCAGATTTTCTTTGAATTGAGGAAAGTTGCTTTAGTTTGTCTTTTTTCACAGAGCAAAATGGTTAAACAGACTCTATCTGCTGTGATGAGTTCATGTGCCTTTTTTCTGGTCATAGACAAAATGACTCTAGGATAAAGATAAAATAATGTTGGAACATTTTTATCACTGCCACAATCTTGCTCTTGTGTGTTAGAGACAAATGTATAGCAGAAAAAAAGAGAGCTCAAATCATTACTTAAAAGCCTTAAATGAACTTGTAGCTTAGAATGTAAATGCTAAGGTGTATAAGTTCTGCAATTACTTAAAAAATAACCCAACACACACAAAAAATGTAATTAACTCATTACAAAGTGGGCTTTTACAGGATCGGGTGTGTACGATTTCCCAGTTTTAAGAATACAAAAAACATATAAGCTGAGAGAAAACTCTTTTTCTTTCGACAAAGAAATAAATTGAAGTCAGTCCATCTCAAATTCTCACAATTTTATACATTTTTTTTTGCACAAATGATTCTTTTTAGCCATCAAAAACTCAACTAAAAAGAAACCAAACCTGAAATGCAAATTGTTGAAGAATAAAGTGTGAAGAAGTACCAACAGGAACTGAATAAAGGCTTTAAGAGCGCACACAAACACCAACTGTGTCCATATTGGCTCGAGGCTTAAAACTGAGCCTCTCAAGATACTGTGCATACAGGGGCACATCAGAGGAACACAGGGATTGTAATTCAGTCACTTTATTATAATTTCTACTGAATTAAAATAGACTCTGGGAGCAGAAGGAGAGGTACTGGGAGGAGGCAGGACAACTGGCAGCGAATGACTCACGTCGAAACACAGGATTCTCGAAAGGTCTGTTGAGATTAAAAAGAATCACTACACACAAGACAAGACCAAGCATGCCAAAAGTGACATGATTGTGGGATCAGATGGGTTCTATATTTAACCACAATGACGTATTTTAGTTGTGATGCATTGAGCGATACAATCGTCTGCGCGGAGGAGGGTGGGAATGGGAGGCTAAAGTAAAAGTACTGAAAATGTTAGACACCAGATCAGAGCTGAAACGTTAGATCGAACATGAGAATATTTCAAGATTTAGCAAATTAAACTGCATCAGTGCAGAGAAAATGATAAAACAGTGCTGAACACAAAAGCAAGGAAGGCTGCATTTTTCTTTCTGTATTTAAAGCCCTGACTTTTCTAAACTCTGGGTTGTTTGCTGAAAAATGTTATTTAAAATCAAAAGGCTGTTCAATTAGGACTCATCAGGCAGCCAGAGAAAGTAGAACCACAAACACTCCCACACATACTTTATCTCCACGTCTTTTTTACTGGTTTCAGGTTTCAGGAGAACATATATGCTGCCTCCCACTCATTTTCTCCTGTTTGTTTAATATTCCACTTGTTTAGATAAACCTGTTGAAGTTCAAATGTAGCTTTAAAAGTTTATTTTTCCAAATACAGAAACTTACTTCATTTTGATGGACCCCAGATCCCCCCAAAAAACATGCAATTTTATTAACATTTTGTTTTGTAGAACAGCAAAGAAAACATGTAATTTGTGCTACAGTTTTGGAATTAGCTGCATACAAAACAGTGGACATCGTCAATGTGTCACTCTGATCATGAAAACATAAAAAATCTGATTTACAAAGATCTCCATTAAGTAATTTAATGAAGCTATGAAGATGTCACCTTTTTTTGAAAAAATAACGATGGGACTGTGCAGCAGCTAAGAAATGCCTTGGTAGGGAGTGAAAGGGTATTACAAAAGCTCAGGTGGTTTATTAGATCAAGTCTTGCGAATTCAATTGTTCTCATTTAGAGGAGACGAGTTATTGGATCAACTGGTATGCGGAGGATCCCCAGATGAAGGACGAGTTCTGTAAAAGGCAGTAATTATTTATATGTTTGCCAGGCAGTTTGGACCGGAGTTGAGCGCGCCTGGGTGAAGGTTTTCCAGGTGATATTTGGCTGAAACAGGAACTGAATCATTATCCACAAGCACAATAACGTGACAGGGGCATTCGTACTGAATACATATAGTCGTACAAAGTGCGATGACACAAGTTTTCTTTAAAACACACAACTCATTTTAAAATGTATGCCAATGACACCAGATCAGAGCTCAGTTTTGTTATTGTATCAAAAACTGCTTTAAAATATTTCCATACATTTACTCATTGAAGAAGTCATGAAGTACTTATCACAATAATTTTACAAACACATCATTTATGATGCTAAAATACTTCATAACAGTAGATAAAGTAAATCAAACTAC